GTGTGCGTATGCTGATAGACTACATATTTATTCACACCCACACCCTCTTTTAGATGAAAGAAAGTGTTGATCAATGTGATCTATTTGAGATACTTACGCAGAACGATATAAAGGATCGAATCATCAACAATGTTGTAATAGGATAGTGTTCGATTATTGTCAAGCGATTTGTTTTCGAATAGTAATCGTTGCAAATCTATTCGAATACCTTCTTGTGTTTGTATTTTTCTCTTGATACTTTGAATTGTGTCTTCGGATTGGACTTCTTCTAATGCTATCTGTTTTCCATCAAATGTACGGACGGTTATTCTCATTATGCCAGAAAACGACAATAAAAGTAGGGACAAATGCGCAGTTAAAATATGAATGAAAATCTGAAAAAAAGAATATCGAAATGAAGTTCAACTTCAAAACGTAATGAATAATATTGAGGCTTTAATTTTGATCTCTAGCACAGGCTAAGTTATTGACTTCTTTTAATAAATTCCACATAATTTAAATAATTACCAAAGAACGAGTAGTACATTCGTGGTATTCAGTATAATAAAAAGTCAGATTTAGCATATCTATATGGATTAGACACAGTCTTGAAGATATACATCTTTTAAATAATAAAACTCATGATTAGTTTCAAACATTTCTGATCGAATTTTCACACACTGCTTAGGTATCATTATCTCATTGGGAACAGATATACTCTGGCGTAAGGTCCTCAACTACTACATACAACTCTTGTTAGTACTTTGTTTATACATGAGGAATATAATCACTGCAGTTCTAGTTCTCCACGAATATACTAGAATGATGAATAGCGCTTTTACTTTTTCACTTTATCAAATGAAGAGTATTTTGAAGCTGAAAAATATTTTTCTTACCTGTAACGGCATTCTACCTGATATAAAATCTTCGGTTACAGTCAACGTTTGTTAAAGATGTGTGTTGTTGATATTAGTTGTCTCTGTTGATAGATAAGTGTTGCTTCTATATATCTGCGGGACGAGGTTTCTTTTTCATCTGTTGATATTATCATCAGAACAAGTGTCTTCTTTCTTGCGACTTTTATTAATGTTGTCACGTCAAGGCTAATTCTACATTAAGTCGACAAATCAATTTATTCATAATCAGACGGGGTATACTTGATTTTAATAGAATTATCTAGATTTTACAGAAAAGATACTTCGTATAATGTAAATATCTCTTGTAGGGTGAGATTCTGGGTGAAGATGCAGTGTGGGTGAGAGGCTGTAGAGAATCAGCTTAAGGGCGAATTATATAAGGGTTTTCTACAAACTGCTCTGCTGATCGGGGTTACCAAACCCCCTGATTTTTAAACATTTCTCATAACGATATTTCTTTTGACATCAGGAACTGATTTTGAAGATTTTTTCTTGATTTTTAATTCTTTTCTTACTTAAGTTTAAACGACGTCTTATGTACAAAAAATGAGAAAAAAGAGAGTAGTCACAACTATATATATGATAGCAAACCAGATAGCACCAAACTAGTATTGTATATCTCTTATTCTTTTGACAAGAACTTCATAGAAAAATGAATCCAAATATGAGATACATCTACGAACAAAAAAATCTGTCTACCATTTTTATTTCTGTGCTATCATACTTTGTATAAAATTTATTGTCTAGAAGAGATATGACTTGAGAGTTTTATTTCAGTATGGTAAAACGATCACAATGTAATAAAACTCTGATGTTATATTTCACTTGACAATACATTTTATACAAGGTATGATAAAAAAAGAAATAAATAGAGAAAAGAGCTTGCGCGAGGGTATACTTTCGGAGAGCATATATGACACACGCAACGAAAACCATATTTTTAACTGAGCATTACAATAAATAATTTGATAACCCGTATTTTGTGCCTTATTTTACTAACTGTACGAGAAATGCGTACGCTATATTAGGTTTTTTATCGCTAGAAAAATGATCAACAAAGAAGAGGCTATTGAAAAATGTCAATTCCTAAAATTTCCATCTCTACTAAAGTTGTAAACATTTGAAAATAAAAAGCTTTACTTTTTTAGTAAAAGTGCATGACACTGCTGTATTTTCCTTCTGGTTTAAAAAAAACTCATCTAATTTTTCTCTTTATTTTTTACGGGAAATCTCCTGATTAACTCCTATTTTTCAATGAAAAACCCTGATTTCTAAAATTTGGATTTGACAACCCTGCTGCTAATCCAAATGAGCCTATTTACAGATATCTCAGTGATGTATATCCAGAAATCAGAAATTGCAAAGTTTATTCTATATTGAGTTCAAGGATAAAATCCGTAAAAGCGTTAACGAAGTAATTATGACTGATTAAAATTAAAACGTACGTTGCTTGTACCAATACCACAATTAGTTAACGGAGAATCAACTGTGCGGCAACGTTATTTGTTTTACAGAGGCACACTTCTACTACTAGCAATTTCTCTTTATTGTCTCGCTCTCCCATCGTTTACTCTGCTTTTCGTTCTCTCTATACACATAGAGCAGAAATATTCATGGCAACGCTGCCACTACGCGACGGCATTACTAGCAGTTTTTTTTCTACAACTCGTTGCGACAGTCGCGGTTATTTTTTCAGAGACAAGGTAAAATTGTTTGTCTACAAGTCCAGCAGCCAGAATTTTGGTAAGTTTAATTGATGCAACCTAGCCGTACTAATTTAGCACAACGATGAAGGGTTTTTTCTTCGAGGCTATCACGACAGTGCCAGATTTACGACTGCGCTGGATATCTATAATATAGAGTTATCATCTTATAGAGATTTATTTTTGACATGTATTCCGCTCCAATTATAGGTATTCTAAGACCTTTGAAACGAGAGCATGATAAATTCCAATTTCTTGAGGGTGGATGCAGTGGCGTAAATAGGGGGGGGGCGCGTGGGGCGCATAACCCCCCCTGCTTCCAAAAACTAATAGGAAAAAGGGGTTTGCGCCCCCCCTGCTTCTAGAAAATTCACTTTTTTTTACCATTAAAATAGAAAAACTAGGCTTACGCCCCCCCTATACCCCCCCTGCTCCGACACCTGACTTACGCCCCTGGGTGGATGTGGGTGTCCGTGGGTCAGAGTATAGGTGATCTGGGCGAGAGTGATGACTGAGTAGAATACACCCGACTCTCACCCACGTCCCCACCCACATTCACCCGCACCCACACCCATACCTACACCATCAAGATGAGGGCTGCAGCGCGGTCTATTCTAATCTATTCTTGTTTGCTTGCAACCATCCCATTTTTGAAATAAAGAGCTTGTCTTTTCTTATCAGTTTCAGTCTATTCACAACCTTGAAGATAAAAGAGAAACAAAAAAGAATAAAACCTCATTTTCATACGACTACACTAAACTTGTGCAAACTTACATTATTTGCAATTCTATTGGTATGTAAAAAAGGACTTACAATATTCCGATTCATTTTTCCAGTAAATGAACACTATTGCTTTGTCTTTGCGCTTTCTAAAGAGGAACAAAGGTTTCTTTCTTGAAATATCATTGCCCATTTACATATTTAACGATTTTTGTTGTATTCGTTTTTGACCACGTCTCGTTCAGCTCAGGTTATTGTTCGATCTTGAATGTTAGAAAAAGATTTCGTTGTACATTTATGCTAATAAACAAAGTTTATGCAACAGTGACTTAATGGATTCTCCGGTATTATTTGAGACTCAGAGAAAATCTTGTGCTTTCTTAGTATTAAGACATAAGGAACTGATGTTTTTGCAACATCAACTAAAGATGCAGTAATTTAGACATAGAAGAAATTAGTAGTGGACTCAAGTAATTTCAGTAGTGATTCATCTAGAAACGTGTTTCAAACTTTCCATCCTATTTCCAAGCAGAACTCGATGAGTTCTGTTTAATGATATGCTCAGATTTTATACAACTCATAATTCAGCTTTTTTAAGCAGAAGAGCTGTTCGAACGTTCTTTTGCATAGAAACGGAGCTTTTTTAACAGCTCCACTCAAAATAATTGTGCTGGTCGAATAGCTGTTGCTGGTAACCTGAACTTTTTTACCCTCAATTCGTATATGATGGAGGTACTTCGAATTCCTCAAGGCCTATGTCGAGGAGGTACCTAGGACTCGCAAGTTCTATAAAACTTTTAAGTGCTGGGCCCAAAGCAACTTGGATCTGGCTTTCATAAGATGTTATTGTCATAGAACACGCTTCTTCTGACGAAATGACTCAGTTGACAAATTCTCTAGTATCTGGTAACCGTAATCCACTCCTTAATTATTTATGTAATTACCTAATACTTAGCCAGATCAATGGGTGAGAATGTGGGCTATATTTTCACCCATCCACCATCACCCACGCCCACGCACCGTCACCTACGCCCACCCACCATCATCCACGCCCACCCGCCGTCACCCACGTCCACCCACGCCTACCACACACCCACACCCACACCCACACCCACCCTTAAGGGGCCAGGGGGAGTCAGGGAACTAAGGAGACAATGAGAACCAAAGGAGGCTCATAGCATTCAAAGGAATGAAACAATGCTATTGATTAATATCAGGATTTTACTAGAAAATAAGAACTTTCGAGAACTCATATACATTCTGATTTCTTCACGCAGACAAATTCATTCTCTCTTGTACTGACTCATTCTGTCTTCGATAAAAACAATTGTTTTGACTCCGGCTATGAAGAATAGACTTAGATACAATGTCGAATATTATTAAATAACAACGAAGTAATTTTGAACGCTCCTTGGTCCCCCTAGTACTTCGGAGAACTGGAAGGGTGATGAGGGCAATAGTTGACTTCGGGTGCCTTGGAAGATGCTGCGGCAATAGCGCTGACTGAGGGCGATTTCATTTGATTCAATTCAGGGACGCCCTCTCATTTCGACCCATGTACTATGTTCACTGCCTTTCGTTCTAAACTCATTCTGTCTTACATTCTATGTGCCTCGACAGTTTTTTCCTTCTCATTCCTATCTTGAGGTTGTAGAAGTGGGTGTCCTTTGCTGATCTAAAGAGAACACCCACACCCGTGGCTACGCCCATATCCGCACCCACTCATTAATCTCTTCGATAATGATACTTTAACTTAAAGAACTGCTTTAATGAATGAGAGATGTAGTACGCTTCTATGTAACCAGTATGAAGCACGTATTTAATTCTTTCCGTTTCTAGATACCAAATTATTCATTTCAATTTTTGTCAATCTATTGACATGGCATCCGATTTTTCAGCATTAGTTGAAGATGTGATCACTTGTCCGATCTGCCAAAAACATTTTGATCAACCCACTATGCTGCCATGTAAGCATACGTTTTGTTATCGATGCATTCAAAATATGGTTACTGGCAATGATGGTGTGTTGAAATGTCCAAAGCGGGATGGAACTGAATTGAAAAAAGATACGATCGACACATTGCCTCTCAATGAAATTGTGCGCGATCTTGTGCATATGCTTGGTAAGTGAAGTAAATCTTGCTATTGTCAAGTTTTCTCTTGAATTGATATTAATTATACTAAACTCATTTAATAGTGCTTTAAGACTTTTCTAATGCTATGACAATAATTCAAGATTATATCCAAGTGTAATTTTTCACAATTTCCTTCTTTAGATCATTCTGATTCAAGCCCATCTGTGTGCTATAGATGTGAAACTGATATAGCTGAATATTGGTGCGAAAGCGATTGCAAACATTCATTTTGCTCCAAATGTTGGGACACCATTCACGAGTTAGGTCAATATCGAAATCATACTCAACTCCCTATCAGGGAGAAACCACCCAACGTAGCTAGATGCCAGGAGCATGAACAAGGTGATGATACACTTAAATATTGGTGCGAACAATGTACAAAACAGGTTTGCAACAATTGTCAACAAATCAAGCATAAAGATCATCCGTTTATCTTAGTAACTGATTTTATGGATGCTTTACAAGAGGAGGTGAATATTAACATAACGTTTTCTTATATAATTAATGTTAAAACGATTCATCGTTATCTTTTAGTGTGAAGATGGCTTACAAGGTGTCCAATCGTGTTTAACCTACCGATCAAGTCGAGTAGAAAAGATGGTAACCGAGATTGAAGAAGAGAAAAAATCCAATAAATCAAAAGTAGTTGTAGCAATGGATTCGTTTCGTAAAATTATCGACGAACAAGAAAAGGTTTTGCTAGATAATATCGACAATACCGAACAAGAAGAGATAAAGTCAATTGAAGAATATAAGCGACAGCTTCAAGGCGAACACCAGAATTTGATTGAAGAAGTATTAAATTTTGTGGTTGTTTGTACAGACAAACAGCCAAAAAAACAATTTGACGCAAAATCATCATTTGATGATTATATAAAAAGGACTAAAACGAAATTGTTAGAACTGAAACCAAAAACTAGGAATGGAAATCATATACCGGGCCTTCAAAAATTACAACAGATGAAAGAACAAATTCGAAGCATTAACATGGAAAAAGTTCCAAAATACGAAAATGGAGAACTTCAGGACGCTATCACTAGGAACGGAAATAATTCAACGCTGAATTTGCAATCGATACAATTAACCGATAAGGATATGGAGATTGTGGCTAATTTATTGGAAAATAATAGGGTAAGAAAAACATTGCTTACTTAGCACTATCAATTTGTTGCTATAAAAGTAACGACAAACATTTTTTAAACTAAAATCCAACTTGGAATATATCATTTCTTTATCATCCTTTTTTCTTAATGATCGAAGCTTTTCGAACTTATGTAGAGTAAAAATTTTCAAGAAGATTCTAAATAGATAGTTAAGCGCTGAATCTTCCTTGCACTGTGAACTATTCGAATTAATGCTATTTCATGAAAAATTGTCTGGGTCTTAATGTGCAGAGAGTTCTACATGGTACAATTCACTTAGCCGACCGAGTTCCACAGCAGAATATTAGCAACAGTTGTAACAGAACTTTTTATCCATGAAACTAACATAGAAGTACGTAACTTCCATAATTATGTTTACTTTCTGATACAGACACTCACTACGTTACAATTGAAAGCTGAAGAACTCAAAGATTTTGGAGCACAACAGCTGGCTGACGCACTAAGGATAAATGAAGTAAGATATTTATTTTGCTGTTCTCTCTTATAATATTAATGTTTGTTTTATTAAAAAACTTTGAATGAATCTTTCGATAAACAACTCGTAAATCAGAGACTAGAAAAACAAAAAAGTCAAAATATTGTGTGACTATACATCCATGTAACGAGATGCATTTCTATCAGTTAAATAGTAAAGTAATTGTCTCTTGGATATTCTAAAGTAGTTTTACCAGCAACCAAGCAGTCTAATAAATATCTATAATTATATCGTGTTTTACCACATAGAGAAGGACATTAGACTATAAAGTTGACGTACAAATTCCATGATCATATATATTTTCCAATACAGACACTCACCACGCTGCAATTGTTTAAAAATCAAATTGGTAACAATGGAGCGGAACATTTAGCTGATGCGTTACGGACGAATAAAGTAAGTCATGTATCCATATATTTTTTTAACATTGATCTTTTCTTTATCGCAAAATCTCACATTAAATGTTTGATAAACATGAATCAAATCTTACACCACATTAGAAATTTTTTTGTGCTTACTGATTTTGATATAACTTTGTCGTAGTATAATAAAGTACAAGAGTATTCTATGCTATCTTATTAGAAAATTTCAATTGAACTATCTGTAATATGAACTCATGTCATTCTGCTCTTTGTTATGTCTCAAACTGTTGCTCATTATAATCTTCCTTAATTATAATATAGACACTTACGAAGCTGCAGCTTCATGATAATAAAATTGGAGATACTGGGGCACAACATCTAGCCGACGCGCTAAAAGTGAATAAAGTAAGTAATCTTTTCAACTGTTTCACACGTATATCCATGAAATTGCTAATAACCAAAAGTTAAATTCGAGCATATGGTAAAAGATCTGTAAGGATAAATTGTCTAGAGTGAAGGTGCAGGCCTTGAAAAAGTTCACAATCACCATAGCAACGAAAAATTATAATTATTTTTTGCGATTCTTACGAAAACAAGTATACATAAGTCGATTTTAATAGTATCTTTTAAAATTGAGCATTGTATTGAGAATAGCGAAAGCTGATATAAACATTTTTCATTTAGTTTATTCGAAAAAGCATAACCCGACTTTAGTCATTTTGAATAACATTAAAGAGTTAGTTTTTTTAATTTAAAATTTTATTTGAATAAACTTTTTGTTACAAGATGAGAGAAGGCATACTTGAAAAAATGTTTCTAAGCTTATTTTCAAAGTGGATTAGAGAGTTGATCCTATTTTGATGCATTTCTTTACTAAACAAATGCTCAGATTTATCATCGATCAGATAAGAAGACTCAAGAAAATTTTCTAATTAATGGATGACTCGCAGAGTATTGTTTATATAGACACTCATCAAACTGGAGCTTCAAGACAATCAGATTGGTGATACTGGAAAAGAACTACTCAACGCAACGCTGAAAACGAAGAAAGTAAGCTACTTTTTTAGTTGATCTTTGAGGGTGGGTGTGGGTGTGCATTCAACATACTTTATTCACTCTCACCCACACCCTAGTAAAATATTTATATTTATATTATTAAAAAAGGATTGACTTGAACTTATCAGAATTGAAACTATTGACTAGGACGGAAGAATCATATATTAAGTCTTGAAAAATTATAGGGAAGCAGAGTTGAAAACCGAATAATCACGTTCGTTCCATCATACGATAACCCAGAACTTCGAAAACGTTTTACTGATAATGGAAACGAAGAAGGGTTCTCGTTGGAAAGTTCAGACTTAACCGATCGGGATATGGAGATTGTGGCTGATGTGTTGAAAACTAATACGGTAAGAGACTATTACTTCTTATCATTTAGACTCTTCGAACTGCATAGAAGTAGGAGATTTCAAAGAGCAACATCAATAGTTTACCAATCATTCTTTTTATTTTTGGGAAATCAGTACTATATAAACTAATAATGAAATACTGAATTGTAGATTCGAGCTCAATAAGATAGATCTATTGAGAATGATAGGAAACGCCATGTTTCTTAAATAGATTTGCTCAATTAAGAATAAACATTAATAATTTATAGACTTGTATGACTTTTAAAATCGCAGATGTCATATGTGCGTCTACATACTTTATTCATGCTTTTGTTAGTACTGAATGTATGTGGGCACTTAGTTTTAAATTGAGAGTTCGACATATTCACGTTAAACTAATATCTTAATTGTTTCTCATTGAACTATTCGAGAATATTATTTGAGAAGATAACTAACAGCAGTGAATATTATTTCGAAAAATTTGTTGAAAACATTTATGAGCATTGCAATTTCGCCTAATGATTACAAAATCGAATCGAAATTAATATACTTACATGCATTGTACTGGATTAAATGACTTTTTCAACACAATGGTTCGCAATAAAGTGAAATATAATGCTGATGATCAAACGTGTTTCCACGGATAAAGAAACATATTGAACTTGAACTGAAGGATTCTTCAATGTATAGTTGTTGGTCGTAGTAAAAAAGTTCTATTATTACTGCAAAAATAAAGACAAAACCATGTATTTCCTTGTTGTTTGTTTTATAATCGTTGAAAGCTCTTCGAATTTGTGAAGATTGAAAATTTTGAACAAGATTCTAGAAGATATTTTTGAAACTCTCAATGTCTATTTTACTAACATCTATTCTAATTCAAAATTCAAATATAATTGTAACGTTATTTTGTTTGAAAGTCGAATCGTCATTTTGAAGGTTTAATGTTGAAGAAATATATTATTTGCTTAACCAATTTTCATAAATAATTGAAGTTTCGAAATGTCGCCGTTGGCGAAAGTCTTACTGGCAATATTCCAGCCACTCTCTTTACTACTAACTAAGCAATCTCATAGATGTTCATCCACTGGGTGGTATCACATATCGAAAGACGTTAGATTGGTTTCATATGTAACTTCCATGATCATGTTCACTTTTCCATTAGACAATGACCACGCTGGACTTATCTGAGAATCAAATCGGTGACAAAGGAGCGGAACTTTTGGCTGATGCATTACGAATAAATAAAGTAAGCTATCTATTCATAAGATATATTTTTCATCGATCCTCACTTTTCAAAACGTCTTATATCAAACTTTTGTTAAACAGCAATCGAATCTTAGACTCTATTAAAGTAGTATTTTGCGGTTAGCGATTATGTTATAAGCTTGTTATAGTAGTATAGTTTGCAAGACTATTCTGCATGTTCGAATACTATTTGGTAGAAGTAGAATTGAAGCTAACAAAGAAGTAGTTTCAAGTTCAGTTGAGATCCTTTGAGTCTCATATTTAAAAGCTCAGATTAGATAACATAATAATATAAGGCAAATTTATCATTTTTCACTCTGAGTGGAAAGTTATATGAAACGATGCAGAGATTACAATTCTTACATGATTTATGATAACGGAATATTATAAACTGTAATGATGTATCAGTAAGAAGCTTATATGATACGAGGGTTAGCTTTAAATACCAAAGAGTTTTAAGTGCAAAAGTACCTTCATGTGTGAATGTGATGTAGTGATAGAATAGATTGAGAACGGTTCGAATTGATTTTGACCCAATCACAAAACAGAATATTTTGACGTGAAGCTTTCGTGAACTGTAGAGCCTAGAGTCAATAGTAAATTCTATAAGTTTCAGTTTCGTCGATCAAAGTTATGTTTTATCTTACTGTTATGTGAATTAAACTTCTTAATGACAGTAATGAAATGAGACTAAGAAACAAGAATTACTTGTTGTTTGAAGAGTATTTATCTGACTTCGTAATTAATTTATATGCTATTAGATAAAGAATTGAACTCTGAAGAAAACTGTGTGAGTGGCTTTGAGTTAAAATCGAGAATTGAGCACAAAAAGTTTAGTGAATAATCGGTGTGAGACCATTCAGATGCTGTACCAATATGGCATGAAAAACGATAAAGGATTACCATATTCAAACTGTTGTCGTTATTTCGATTAAAACTGAGCAATCTCAAGCGTAGTTTTCATGCTATTGTCACTTCGTATTTCGTATAATTATTCACTCGTGTGTTCATTTGATGTTATGATGATGGCATAATTTGTCGCTGTTGACGATGCATATTCGGAGGTTTATTTCTGTGTCTAATTATATTTGATTTTTTTTCAATATGATTCAATAAGTTAACAAATTCGACAAACATTATATATTGAAATTGATGTGGGAAACATTTGAATTTTTTCGTGTTGAAACGAAATAGACATAATTTTATGTTATACAATGGCCATCTATTCGTTAAAATTATATAATCATCGCAACAGACATATTTGATACACATTTTGATATAAATGATGTTTTGCTAGATAAATGGAACAGTAGTCACTTGTCTTTCTTTTATATTGTCTCTTCACAGAATGACAAAATGCACGCGTATTACACGAGGAATTGTTTACATCAATACCGTTTCCTTTGTGATATTGAATTATCAAAAGCAAAACTATGAAGTCTTCAATACTCTATCATAAATGAAACTAATAAGAGAGTCAAAAATAATGTTGTGATTTTGAATGAGAATTTCATCAAGAACT